CACACCTGAGACAAGTCTGAAAACCAAGTAAAAGTTATCCCTTACATTTATAAAGGAAATCTCCATTTGTAATGGTGTCCCCTTCACTGTGCCAGGCCTGCCCTCACTATCACGGGAGAAGGCATGGTCTTATGTCTATTTATCAGTCTTACCCTTGCTCACTGTGCTTGTCCTGGTAACCTCCCTTAACTGACTCTCCACTCCCAACATCTTTGTCTTTAGCTGAAGGTGACAATTAAAAGGCAGTGGCTTCCACCATTTTGGTTACTCAGCTTTCCTGGGTGTCTCCCATGTTTACAAAAGGCATACAGATTATTAAGCTTTAATGTCTTTTCTCCTGCTAATCTGTCATGTGTTAATTAGATTAGCTTAGCCAGAAGAATGTGAAGGTGAAGGGTAGAGAATAATTTTTTCTTCCAGATGTGCTACATCTTGAGGATGCAAAGTTTCCACTTTTGAAGCCTCACAGTGAAGTTGGGGGACAAGATTTACACTAAAAAGTGAGTCTGAAAAAGAAAGTGAATCTGTACACATCACTGGGTGGGGCCACTGCAAATTCTTCTAAAGCTCCAAGGAGGGTGGAATTGTTCAGGACTGGGCTGGTCCAACAAAGCTTCATAAAGCTTAAAATGGAACTTGAAGAAAGCATCAAACCTGATCAACTAGAAAAGAAAATGTATTGGAAGGCAGTGAATAAGCTCATTATAGCCGAGGCAGGTTTCAGATAGTCACTAAGTTGTAAAAGGTTTTGGAAGACCTTGAATTCAGAGTAATAGTTTGTGTTTTATTTATTTTTATGTATTTTTATTGATTTAAGAGAGGAAGAGAGAGGGAGAGAGAGAAACATTCATGATGAGAGAGAATCAACGATCAGCTGCCTCCTGCACACTCCATACTGGGTATCTAGCCAGCGAGCCAAGAAGCTAGCAACCTGGGCATGTGCCCTGAGTGGGAATCAAATCATGACCTCCTGGTTCAGAGGTCGATGCTCCACATCAGCCCTTTCCTAAGGATTTTAAGGGTGGTGATTTTAGGGGAGGTCCCAAAGGGGAGATCCCAATAGAATATTCAGCAGCTTTTCAGGTGTGTCCTTTCCGGGTTGTGTTCTCACTAATTGATTACCCAGCACCAGGGCAGGGGATCACTGTTTAGTGCAGCTGGTCCTGACATCAGCTGGGGCTGGTTTTGGAGGTGAAATATAACTGAGGCCTGGTTGTTATCTCCAAGGAGGAAAAGTCAGGGGCCCAAACGCATGACCAGGGGAAGAAAAGTTACCTTGGGGACGAGGTCCCACCCTACAATTGATGTCCGTTGCCAGGTACTTGGGGATTTCCATTCTGGTGACCTTTTGTACCTGGCCCACTATCCTTGCTCTGCTCAGGTATAACTGCCTACAACATATGGAAGTGTAAGATAATTTTACAAGGACTATTTGGTAGGTGGCTCAGTTGGTTAGAGTGTCATGTCATACACCCAAAGATTGTGGGTTCCTTTTCTATTTGCTCCCCTCCTACCTCCCCTAAAGATCCATGCTCCTGCTAAGGTAGCACCACCATTTCCTTCCAGCCGCCATCATGATCATCTACAGGGACCTCATCAGCCATGATGAGATGTTCTCCAATATCTATGAGATCCAGGAGATCGCAGATGGGCTGTGCCTAGAGCTGGAGGGGAAGATGGTCAGTAGGACAGAGGGTAACATTGATGACTCGCTTATTGGTGGAAATGCCTCTGCTGAAGGCCCTGAGGGCAAAGGTACCTGAAAGCACAATAATCACTGGTGTTGACATTGTCATGGACCATCACTTGCAGGAAACCAGCTTCACAAAAGAAGCCTACAAGAAGTGCATCAAAGATAACTTGAAACCAATCAAAAAAAAGCTTGAAGACCAGAGACCAGAAAGTGTAAAGCCTTTTATGACAGGGGCTGCAGAACAAATCAGGCACATCCTTGCCAATATCAAAAACTACCAGTTCTGCCAAAACTGGTTTGGCTCAGTGGATAAAGCGTTGGCTTGTGGACTGAAAGGTCCCAGGTTCAATTCCGGTCAAGGGCATGTACCTTGGTTGAGGGCACATCCCCAGTGGGGGGGAGGGGTGTGTGCAAGAGGCAGCTGATCAATGATTCTCTCTCATCAATGATTCTAACTCTCTATCCCTCCCGCTACCTCTCTGTAAAAAAAATCAATAAAATATATTAAACAAAACAAAACAAAACAAAAAACCTACCAGTTCTGCTTAAACCGATTTGGCTCAGTGGATAGAGTGTCAGCCTGTGGACTGAAGGGTCCCAGGTTTGATTCGGATCAAGGGCATGTACCTTGGTTGCAGGCACATCCCCAGTGGGGGGCGTGCAGGAGGCAGCTGATGGATGTTTCTCTCTCATCGATGTTTCTAACTCTATACCTCTCCCTTCCTCTCTGTAAAAAATCAATAAAATATATTTAAAAACAAAACAAAAACAACAAACTACCAGTTCTTTATTGGTGAAAACATGAATCCAGATGGCATGGTTGCTCTGCTGGACTACTGTGAGGATGGTGTGACCCCATATATGATTTTTTTTTAAGGATGGTTTAGAAATGGAAACATGTTAACAAATTGGATAGTTTGGCTTTATCTCCTGTCATCATAACTAGCTGCTGCTTTTCATTGACACACAAAGACTAGGACAAATGGGACTGATGTTATCTTGAGCTCTTCATTTATTTTGACCTTGATTCATTTGGAACAGAGGCATTGTTTTTAAAGGGGGGGGAAATGTCATGTAGGTTGTCTAAAAATAAAATGCATTTAAACTAAAAAAAAAAAAAAAAGAAAGAAAAAGAAAGAAAAAGATTGTGGGTTAAATTCCCAGTCACATACCTAGGTTGCAGATTTGATCCCTGGTCACGGAGCATATGAGATCTCTTTCTCAGCATATCCTCTGGTGAGGATTGAAATGAAGAAGAAGAAGAAGAAGAAGAAGAAGAAGAAGAAGAAGAAGAAGAAGAAGAAGAAGGAGGAGGAGGAGGAGGAGGAGGAGGAGGAGGAGGAGGAGGAGGAGGAGGAGGAGGAGAAGGAAGGAAGGAAGGGAGGAAGGAAGGAGGAAAGGAAGGAAGAAAAGAAGGAGAAATTATCTGGTAGTAGTGGAGAGGATGGCTGGGTGGAGGAGGGAGCCTGGTGCCCAGGAAGCTAGTTGAGGAAAAATTACATAGTCCAGTGGAGACAATTGGACTATTGAATATCCAACTAAGGTGATAGCAGAGAGAAGGGAAAACAGAGCACTGTTCTGTGAACTTGTCTTGAAACAGTATTTGCATGTTATTAATTTGATTTTAAAATATCTGGGACACTTTTGCACCTCCACTTTCTCCATTGTCTGTCGATTCTTTTCTGCAGGAGTAATAGAGGAAAATAAAACTGCATTATTATCTGCTGAATGGCAATGGTCAGCAAACTCATTAGTCAACAGAGCCAAATATCAACAGTACAATGATTGAAATTTCTTTTGAGAGCCAAGTTTTTTAAACTTAAACTTCTTCTAATACCACTTCTTCAAAATAGACTCTCTCAGGCCATGGTATTTTGTGGAAGAGCCACACTCAAGGGGCCAAAGAACTGCATGTGGCTCTCGAGCCTGAAGTTTGCCAACCAGGAGCCTGAGGCAATTCACTCTGCTCCTTGGACCTTAATGAACTCATTTTAATGAGATAATATTTTCCTGACTGAGAGCAGAGAGCTGGAATACTACAGAATGCCTTGATGATCTTTTGGACTTGAGTGAGTTTCTTTTTCTTTTAAAATTTTAATATTTTTTTTTATTGATTTCAGTGAGGAAGGGAGAGGGAGAGAGAGAAACATCAATGATGAGAGTATCATTGATTGGCTGCTTCCTGCACGCCCATTACTGGGGATGGAGCTCGCAAGCCCGGCATATGCCCTTGACAGCAATTGAACTTGGGACCCTTCAGTCCGCAGGCCTAAGCTCTATCCACTAAGAGCCAAACCAGCTAGGGCTATTTTTAGTTATTTTTCAGAAACCTACAACATCTACTCTTCCCCAACAGCTATTTCATCATGGTCTGGGAAGTTACCTGGGCTTCTCTCTGGAGGCCATATAACTTCCCAGTGCCTCCTAGAGTTGTGGTTGAGGCTGGGAAGGAAGCAGCTTCAAATCCGACCTGGAAGAGGAAATTATGGCTGCATTAAGTGACCACCGCATCCCAATGAATATTCTGTCTACTCTTGTTACCTAAAGTAGGGAATAGGGTCGGTGTAGCCAAGAAAAGCCCTCATGCGGAAATCTCAGGCGTCACCCCAACACGAGTCCCCAGCAGCACCTGGCATCTACCCAGCTTCACTCCTGCTTGGGGAGCAACAGCATCCAGTGCCAGGGAGGTATCTGCCTCCCTCCGTCATGCCCAGTCCGGGTCCTAACTCGCCCCACCTACACCCCACCCAACTCAGTCAGCAGGGGCGCCAGTCACAACCCCTGGACACACCTCCTGTTGCCTCTGGAAAGCCAGTGGGATTCTTTCCCTTTCCCAGGGCTCCGGGGGGCGGGGCCCACCTGTGCCCCGGGGGCGGGGCCTGGGCGGGGGCGGGACAGGTGGGCGCGTCGCGGGGCGAGAAAAAGCCGGAGCGGGAGGGAGGGAGGGGGAAAGGAGGGCGGGTTGGCGCGCACCTAGGGAACCTCCGAGTGGGCAGTGTGTGCGAGCCAGCGAGCGAGCGAGTGGGCAGGGAGGGAAGCAGCGCGCCGGCGACAGAGAGGCGTGGAGAGGAGAGCCGCGCGCGGAGGGCACCGGGGAGGAGGAGCGGCTCCCGGGGAGACCTGGCGCCCGCGCAGCCGACCGGCCCCTGGCGCGCTGAGCAGGAGCCCGCGCCCCGCTGGAGCGCGGCCGGCGGGGACAGCCTCGGCTCGGCCCCGAGACGCTGGGCTGGGGCCGGCACCCCGCGCGCTCGGGGCGCTGGGCCCGGCCGGGGGCTGGGGCTGGCGGCGGCCGCCGGGGCGCCGCGCCATGGGGAGCCGCCGCGCCGCGCTGCTGCTGCTGCTCCTGCGCTCCGTCAAGCTGCTGCGGCGGCGCTTCCGGCTGCTGCTGGTGCTCGCCGTGGTGTCCGTGGGGCTCTGGACTCTCTATCTGGAACTGGTGGCGTCGGCCCAGGTCGGCGGGAACCCCCTGAACCGGAGTGAGTAGCATGGGGCGGGGGGGCGGAGGGGACGCGGAGGTGGGCAGGGGGAGTTCCGCCGGCTCCAGCGCCGGGGAGACCCGCCTCATCCTCAGACCTCCAGGTGCTCGGCGCCGCCCCGCTGCCTACTTAGGGCGGGAGAGCCGAGCCCGGGCCTGGCCGCCGGGCTCCATCGGGTCGGGGCATCCTCGAGGCTGCTTGCTTCTCCCATCCTAGGGCGACGGCGAGAGAGGCTCCCCGTGGAGATGCTAGCTGAGCCTTAGGGTGCTTCCAGCGGCGCCAGGCTTGCAGGTCCCCATGAGGAGACACGAGCGGTCCACGCGGGCTGCAGATCTGTGTCTGGGATGCCCTCGGCCGTCCTCCCCAAGGCCGCGCGCTCTGATCTGCGCGGCCCAAACTTTGCTCCCCGCCTTCTCTAGGGCTCTCTCCATTTCGCCTCCTGGTGCATGTCCTGCGGTTCTTTATTTTAACAATGCCTCTTAGAGCTACCTCTCCTTCTCCCTTCCCATAAGCCAAGCCACTCCTCCTAGACCTAGCTCCTTCCCCTGCCTCCTGGTCTCCCACCTTCTCGTTGAGCCGTCCCCTCCCCTAGTCATGGCCATCCCTGCAGCTGGGTGTTTGACGCGAAGCCCTCCTGGGGAACTCTGCCGAATTTATCAAACTCCTCAGACCTTACTCACAGAAACAATGAAACGCACAATAGTTCAATTAATGCCTTTAACTTATCAAAAGCTACCTTTTCTGTGCCTCAGTTTCCTCCTAGGACAATAGAGGGGAAATGGTCGCTCTTTTTACAATAGGTTTGGTTATCTGAGGGGCCTTTCAATTTTCTATTACTGGAACTCACAAGGAAAACTCTGAAAGAGTCAGGGACTGTAACAGGTCAACGTAATGGCTGTAAGGAATGGAGAGACTGGAATCCTCCAGGTTCCCTTTCAAGGCACAAGGGACAGAGTTTCAGAGTTCTGGCACATTTCTCCCCTCACTGCACCTGCCCTGCTCAGGAGCTGAAGGAATGCCTGATGAAATAAATTACTGGTGAGAAGATTCTCTGACAAGTCCTTGCGTCAGCTTCTTTGCCCAGAGTTGGGTGTGGTGCTTTGTCTTCTGTAACCAAAAGAAGGAATCACCAGCTCAGTCACTGGGCTGGTTCAGGGTAGAAGTGTTTATGGTGGAGCCTCTCTCTCACTGGATGGCAGCTGAAATGAATCTGGTTGTGAGTTGAGAGACAGGATCCAGTTCTGGTTTTGTCACTAACTAGTTGGGGACTCAAGGAAAAAAATGGCAACTTCTCGGTAGAAGGAGGAAGTTGGACCAAATGATCTCCAAGGTTTCTTTCAGCCTGATTATTGAGGTTATGTGATCCCCCTTCTTGATTATGTCCAGGCCAGAGAGATCAACACATCATGAGGAAGGCAGTTCCACAGTGCTTCCTTCTGATGACCCAAATCTGCCTTCCCATAGCTAGTTCTTCTCTCCCCTGAGCCCTGCTTCCCCCTCTAATAGACAGTGAATCTGCCCTCCAAGACCCTTCACAGTGCCAAGTGCATGCAGGAGGCCCTGGGAGGGATCCTCCTTTTCTCCCTGGGACAGGACGCCTCTTCTCAATTTTATTAATGTGATGGTCAATGGGATCCTCTGCATAATTAAAAAACGGAGGAAGGCAGTTATTTCATGACCCTGAAATCAGAGACCTCCCTTCTTCCTCCCCCTCCTCCAATGTGCTTTTGCCTCAAATGTGCTTTCTCCTCAGAGGCCAGAAGCAGTTGCCATAATCAGAATCTCACACTCTATCTCCTGTTTGCTGTCTCACCCTCTGCTATCAATTCCTGGGTCTTATTGGTTTCCCTTGTAGTTGAATCTAATTCTGACTGGGTTTCCTTATTCCTTGTTTCCTTTTTCAAACTGACTCTTCTCCAGAAAAATGTTCCAGCTTCCTATTCCAGAAGTGGCTTTCTGTTTTCTTAGCCATCATTTTTTTTTTTTTTTAAATCCTCACTTGAGATATTTTTTCCATTGATTTTTAGAGAGAGTGGAAGGGAGGTTGAAGAGAGAGAGAATGAGAGAGGGGGAGAGAGAGAGAGAGAGAGAGAGAGAGAGAGAGAGAGAGAGAAAGAGAAAGAGAGAGAGAGAGAAACATTGTGTGAGAGAGACACATCAATTGGTTGCCTCCCACATACACCCCAACTGGGGCTGGGGATTGAACCAGCAACTGAGGCACATGAGTGCCCTTGACCGGAACCCTTTGGTTCCTGGTCTGATGCTCTAACCACTGACCAAATCTTCCAGGGCTCCTTACCCAACCTTTTTAAGGAGAGTCCAAGCCTGCACACTGATAGATCACTTAGAACCCTGAAACCCCTCTGCTCTACAGGGTGGCTTTTCACCCTGGCCATCCATTGTGTTCTATCGATACTTTTTTCATTTGGAATGAGATTTAGACAGTGGTTGTGGTTTCTGGCTCCTTGTCTTCTGTCCTATTTTGTTTGTAAGAAGCCCAGACATCTTGTATCAAAATCCTCTTCTCCTTATAGGTCTTACTCCCAGCTCAGAGCTATTCCTTTGAAGGGAGAGCGGGGGTGGGGAGGAGGGGATGGAAGGGAGAATTAGGAAGTAGAGAGGTAAGAAGGGGTAGCTCGCATTCCCTTTACACCCTGGCCAATCTATAGCAATTAGGGTAGTAAAACGTCCCCTCCCAGGATGCCCTTGGCCTTGACCACAGCAACTGGAGTCCCATTTGGCTCTGCTCCTCAGCAAGCCACCCCGCCTCCTTCCTCAAGCAGTACCTCCCTGCCAGCTCACTCCACCACCAGCTTTCCTGTCATCTGTAAGGCCACCCTTCATTAAAGAACCTTTCATTTGCCTGTCCCTGTGTGACTGGTACATCAGTCTGATGCTGGAAGAAGTATGTGGAGAGATGGCAGTCACAAACTCTAGGGTGGTAAAGTAATGACAGGGGAGCAGGCTTCCTGCTCCATCTTTATGGAAATAGCTCAGTAGTTTGAGATATGGACGATGTGCAATTTCGGCTTCACATGTAAAAAAAGATACAACCACAATTGGAGTAACTTCAGAGAAAAGCAACCAAAATCATTAACGGATAGAAAATGGGTCCCTTGGACTAAATAATTAGAGCTGTTCACTCACTCATTTAAGCAAATATTTATTTAGCACAGACCTTGAGCAAGACATTGTACTATATCACTTAGATATAATGATAACTAAGGTTATAGTTTCTGCGCTCTCAATAGCATTGTCTAGGGGTTTGGGTGCACATATAAAAATCATTATAATATGAAATGGTCATTAAGTTTTACAACTTAGACAGTAGACTGTAGATATTGCTGTGACACTTCTGGTGATGGAACACAGCTCTTTCAGTTAATTTCATGGAAATGGTGACATTGCAGGAGATATTGAGGTGTTTGTACGGTTTTTTTTTTTTATAATATATTTTATTGAGAGAGAAAGGGAGAGGGATAGAGAGCTAGAAACATCTGTAAACATTTATTAAAAATAAATAAATAAATATTTATTTTATTTATATAAAAATGAATAAATAAATAAATAAAATAAAATTGTACAAACGGCCTAAACTGAAACATCTATAAACATATTTATTAAAAACAAATAAATAAATAAATATACATATTTATTTATTTTAAAAAATATATATTTTATTGATTTTTTTACAGAGAGGAAGAGAGAGGGATAGAGAGCTAGAAACATCGATGAGAGAGAAATATCAACCAACTGCCTCCTGCACACCCCCTAGAAGGGATGTGCCCGCAACCAATGTACATGCCCTTGACCGGAATCAAACCTGGGACCTTTCAGTCCGCAGACTGAGGCTCTATCGACTGAGCCAAACCGGCTTCGGCCATTTGTACGGTTTTAATGGACACAGAAAGAGAAGGCTGTTCCAGTCAGAAAGAGCACTGTAAACAAAGACCAAGAGGCAAGGGAAGGTTAGGGTTTGGGAGTGTCGAGCAGAGGATCTGAAGGAGATTATGGAATGGTACTGTATTATGAAAGACTTTGACTATTAACCTTAAAGAATGGCCCTTACAGATAAGAGCAGATGAAGTGTTAGAATAGGTTAGCCATGTAGAGGGGATCAGGCAAGGGTAGTAGTGAAATAAGTTAAAAGTACTTTGGTAGGGTCGATGGTGCCTCAACAGGGCACTGAAGGTCCCTTGCTGAGGCTGGCATTAGCCCACTAGCTGCTGGGTCATAAAGCTTTCCTAGGGACAGGTCAAGGTGGTAGTGGGGCATTCAGAAGGCCTGGGGCAGTCACTGTATCCCAACATGTTCTTAAGTGTCTCAGCTGTGCTCGTGCAGCTGTACCTGTGTATACGGGCTGAAAAGCAGCCCTGGGAGCAGACCATTATTGGAAGTCAAAGACTCCATTCTGGCAGGTTTTAACTAGTTATAGCCATTTGTTCAGATTGAGTTGGGTATAACTAGCTAAGTCCTGCCCGAGGGGAGAGGTCTGGACTGAAATGGTTGCTCTATAATTGACCTGCTGGGACCAACTTGGTGCTTGAGCCAAGAGATCGTGTTTGGGCACAGAGCCAGGGCTGAATGACCCCGGGCCCCAGCTTCTTTCTAGATCTCCCAAGGTCTGGTGTATCCCCATCTAAGTGCCAGGTTTACCCGCTGAACCCCAAAGTGTTCTCAAGCTGAGGAATTAATCAGTGCTCACTGTCCTAAATCTGTAACACACTTCTCTGGTTAGCTCTTGTGATTTCTAATTGACTTTGAGTGGGCTGGGGAGCCACACCCACAGATGTCAGGCAGACACTTCAGCTCTGGGGTCACCACAGCCATTCCCATTTGGAAAGGATACAAACCCAGTAACAGAGGTAACTTGGGGCAACACAGTAATTTGAGATGCAGGCAGGGAGAGAGGGAGAAACAAAGGAGACAGATGTGTGGGCAGAGCAGGGATGGTGTGGCTTAGAGTTAAAACTCGGAGCACAGGGAGTGGAGAAAGGAAG